CCCCTCAGCCTTTTAGAGGACACATCCCTGCCTGGTGCCCTGTGCTGCCTGGGAGAGGCTGCAGACCCCCCTCAGTCTTTGAGAGGACACATCCCTGCCTGGTGCCCTGTGCTGCCTGTTACAGGCTGCAGACCCCCCTCAGCCTTTTAGAGGACACATCCCTGCCTGGTGCCCTGTGCTGCCTGTTACAGGCTGCAGACCCCCCTCAGCCTTTTAGAGGACACATCCCTGCCTGGTGCCCTGTGCTGCCTGGGACAGGCTGCAGACCCCCCTCAGCCTTTTAGAGGACACATCCCTGCCTGGTGCCCTGTGCTGCCTGGGACAGGCTGCAGACCCCCCTCAGCCTTTGAGAGGACACATTACTGCACATCCAGGCTGTAAGAAAATCACATCTGTACACAGAAATGGGAAATTCTGCAGCAGTTTTCAAATAATAGGTGCATCATTGTGAATTACAGTAAGACATACTTTAAAAATGCCAAAACCAAATATTAGATTTGTAGATTATAGCAAGGCATGTGTAAATTTACCATTTAAACCTGAATTTATCGGTTATGCATTCTGATGATTATGGTGTGTAGGTGTCCGTGTTGAGGAATCTGGGAAGGCTGTCATTCCCAGCATGTATGGCATGTGCCTGCTGACAGTGAGCGCAGCACACACAAAGCTAAATTTCTGAGACCTGCAGAGAGTTTTCCGGGGGGGGGGGGGGGCTTGTGCCCTGTGCCCCATATCGCTGGCTGAGCTCCGTCTGCATGGCTCAGTATGAGGCACCGCGGCATCAGTTTCAGTTTCCGGTCCGACTGTCAAAGACTTAAAGGAATCTCTTGGCTGCTGTCCATGTTGAGGGATTTGTATGATGTTGCCAATAATAATTTCCAAGACTGTAGCCATGGAGTCAACAGTGGGGGGGCGGGGGGGGGGGGGTCAAGGCCATAATTATAATATATATTGAGGGGGGAAGACATTGTGAGCACATCTGAATATTTGGGGGGACGTGTCCCCCAGTATATATTATAATTACGACCTTGATAATTTTATCAGAAAATTCCATATTAATATACTCGTAATATTAAATCTGAAATTTGGTCATAGAGAACAGAAACATTACATACATTTTGCTTGGATCTACATTGACAATTCAGTAACAATGCCTTATATGAAATGTTTGCAGTATTTCCGTTTATTTGTACAAGACAGCATGACTTAACACTCCGCTAAAGTGAAAACATAACCTTGATAAGAGCCTTTTAGTGAACTCGGCATCTGCCGTTTTTTCCCCTTGCCTGACAGACGAATCTCTCCTGGCGTGAGTCTCGTGCCCCCTCGTGGCTATAAAGTGTTACTGCAGTTTCGAGCATATCGATCATCTTTGAGGAAACCTTCGTAGAGATGTTTTACTTCACCTGCTATCAACAATTGTCTTCGGATGTGACACATTTAAAATTCGAAGGCTGATATCAAAATAAGGCCAAGGTAACCACATTATCAAGATTATGCTCAAGACCCTAACAGCAATCACAAATACTGTCATGCTGAAATGGCTTTCCAATACAAGGATCAGTACTGAAGATGTGATACACTGATGCAAGGAGAGGAAAATATTAAAGGAAAACTGCATGCTGCAGACCCCTATTCTGTCTAGCTACCCAGAATATCCCCATCTGTTTGTGTCAGCAGGCTGTGAGTTGCAGATGGGGGAAATGTCAAAGAGCTGTGAAAGAAAATTGGCCAACATTTCACCTTTGCCTCAGTGGAGTGGTACATCCCCATCACGCCCCACACTGCCGCTCCCTCCCCTAGCTCCATTTACACTGCAAAACAGTGTAAATGTCTTTTGCTATTTAAAATGCACTAAACTCTTAAACCTGCATTATAGATCCCATCCATCCATCTCATTGAAATGCAGAACAGAGGTGCAGAACATTTTAATATGAAATATTTACAGGATTGTGACATTCTCACATTTGCATGGTTGAACAGTAACATATCACTAACCTGAGCATCAACGACAAGAGAACAAACTTCTCAGGAAGCTGGAGGAATCGCAAATTCCCCTCCTTTGCAAAATCATCACATCGCTTGGCTCTGAACGTTTTGTTCCAAAGGTGAAGTATGCTGTGGAAACTTAGCTGTTATGTCATTCCAAACTCAGCTGTTTATAAAGGTGTGAAAAAAAAGTTCCTGTTGCATTTTTCAAGAAGTTATACTTGCATACTTGAGGTAGAATCGAGAAAGAGAACAGATTAGCAGACGTGACCAACGTGAGCAGTGTGCTTTTGTTGTATCAGATGGACAATCCATGTGAAACAACATATAACATTATCTGTAAAATCTCTGTGCAATAGTTTCCAAGACGGAATGGCTTATTGCAGTTAGGCATTAATGACTGATCTCAGCATAGCTCTTTCCAGTTATAAACTTCCATAGCTTGAGACACTTTACATAATAGATTAAATAAATATCTAGAAATTTGACACATGAATAAAAATCCTAGATTTAGACTTGCAAGGCTCCACAAGTACACAAACAGATTCTGTGCAGAACATTTCCTCTCTACAAATGTAAATGTTGAGATAACAGGGGAAAATCCTCTCCATCTGGCAATTTCTACATCCTAGAGAAATGGATAGGCACCGTCAGACCAAAATACAAGCTTGCCATTTGGGGTTTACATTCATGGTGCTGTGTTAAGGTCTGGTAACGATCTAGCCTGAAATATCTAGCTGGAAATGCAGCGCCAGGATGAGTTCAGCCCCTGACAGCCGGCAATCTACACAAGATGAACGGCAGTTGCTGAAGTGATGTCGGAGGTAAATGTGCAGCAATTACAAATCTGTCAAGATGCTATTTAATTATAAACAGAACAGGAACTTCCAGAAGGTTGCAGCACAAGAAAGAGGGGCAGTAACAAAAACAGCAGAAGAAAAAGCCTGATAAAAATGTTGCGCATAAAATGTGTATTACAAACGCATGCGACGTTGCAGAGAAGCCTTAACTATTCAGCAACTTACCAAACCAGAGGATAACTCATCAACCATGGATCTGCAGTGACCCAGAGAATATTATTGGGAATTGCAGCCAATTCACATGTTCAAATAAAATTACATTTCACTGCCAAACTAAACTACATAACCCATTATTCAGTCTGTGCTGGGTTAATGATTTTTCTCTATTTAGAAGAAACTTGAAGGTAAATAACCAAATTTGATTAATTGGCCTTCGAAAACAGCCATTTTGCAGAAGCCGAGCTCAGAGATTCAGTGAGAAAAATTTTAAAAATCATAAAAATATCATTCTAGTTGTGACAAGGTAACTGTGTTTCCAGTAAGGCCTTGAGAGAAAAAATGCATCAGCAGCATGGTATAAACAGCAACGGGGCCTGCCTCAGACTCAGCCCCTGAACCGGGGTCCCAGGTCGAGCCGCTGAGCCTCGCTCAGTCCACGGTGTCGCAGATCTGCAGGACCCTCTGGTTGAAGTCCTCTGATTGGTCAGCGTACACGTAGTGGCCAGCTCCGCGAATGGCCTGAGGGAAGGGAGTGGGGTCAGAGGGGGACGCTCACCTCAGCTCATTGGGTCATTCAGCGAGCATGGGGCGTCAAACTCACGATGGTCTCCACATAGGAGTTGGGCCTCAGTTCCTTGATCAGGGTGCCAGTGTTGCCTTCGATGCTGGAGCGGGAGCCGTAGAGGACGGTGATGGGGATGTCCCGCCTGATGAGGCCGACCCGCTGGCCCATGGGCCTCTGTGCCCAGCAGTACGGAATCGTCATGTTCCGGAAGGCGCTCTCCCCGCTGGAAGGGAAAAACACCTTTCGCTGACTGCAAACAGTTCCCCATACGATGACCAAGTGAAACGGTCATGATATCACTTTAAAAGGCACACTATTAGACTAACAGTCTATATGCTACCCCTTCACTACAGCTTCACAGGAAGTGGGGGGAGGCTGACCTTGGGGTCTGGACGTTCAGGTGGTAGATGTACTCCGTGACGGTGTTGTCGTCGAACATGGAGGAGAATTTCTTCTTAAAATCCGGTCTGAGTGTCTGTACCAGTGTGGGCCCTGGGCATCAATAACGGACACTGAGACATTACATGCTGCCTGAGAGCAGGTAGCGATCCACACGCGTCACCGGCCACGCGCTGTTACCGAGGGGTCCCGCCAATCTCAGGCCTGCAAGTGGGTTGAAGGGGCTCAGCATGGCCCCAAGTGCCCTGATCCACACAGGCATGGGCCGGTCCTGCTCCGGCGGTTCGGGCCTCTCTGGAAAACCCCAAGGCTCAACGAGTATGAGGTGCTTCACCCTGCAGGGCAGAGAGCAGCATGGAGGGACGACTAAGTTACTCATCTCTGCCGCTGATCTTTCAGCTTAGCTACTCATCCCTGCCGCTGATCCATCAGCTTGGCTACTCATCCCTGTCACTAATCCATCAGCTTGGCTACTCATACCTGCCACTGGTCCATCAGCTTGGCTACTCATCCCTGCCGCTGATCCATAAAATGAACTACTCATTCCGGCTGATGATTCTTGAAATTAGCCACTCATCTCTGCCACTGATGCAAACTAGCTATTCATTCCTGCCACAAATCCATCAACTTAGCTACTCACCCTTGCCTCTGATCAACTGAGCTATTCATCCCTGAAATGCTCTTTTTACCCTTTAAAATCCCACTGGCCAGTTTTCAGAATCAGAATCATTATTGCCACACAACCAAGGCCAGTGGGAATTATTGTTAGCACAGTTCACAACTGTTACAGACGTGGCAAATACAGACATAGAATAAATGCATGACATGGGATACGAAATGTAGTGGGAAAATGCAAGGTATAATAAATTCAGTGGATTGTGCAAAGTGAAGTGGTGCAATGCTTAAAGTTGACAGAGGTACAATACAGACAACATACATCCATACAAATAATGCATAACGTACAACACATTAAATGGTAATTTTAATGTGTGGACAGATTGTCAGGGATTTGTGCTGTAAACATTTAAATGGTACAAATGTTGCATTGCTGTTTGATTACAAATTTAATTTGAGTAACTGTTAACTGTCGCACTAAATCCTTGTGACCATGGTTACCCTAATATATATAAATAAGCAAATCTAGGAACTGAAAATCTGTTCCAGTGCAGCAGATCAGATCTACAAGTTCTGCAGCCTTGGTTTCATAAATACAAGCATTCATTCCATTGGTATGTGCCACTCCGTAACCAGCCATGGGGCGGTGCGTACCTGCTCGGGTACCTCAGCGAGTACGCTGCTGTCAAATAGCCACCCAGATTGTGTCCAAGCATGATCATGGCCTCCAGTCCCACTCTGGCCCTCCATTCCTCTATGGACTCAACAAACTGGTCTTCAGCTTCGCGGGCATCCGTGCTGAAGTGTGGCCTACTGCTCTGGCCAAAGCCCAGTAGGTCAAAGGCGTAGAGAGGCCTGTGCTCAGACAGGACGTCCACGTTGAGGGCCCAGAGGCCCACGCCGCCCCCAAAGCCATGCAGGAGCACCAGCGGCGTCTTCTCCACGCTCCCATTAAACACCAGTGTCCAGATCCTGTTCCCGTTGGATATTTGCACGTATTGTTTGGAGAACTTTCTAGATATTGCTAGAATTAGAGAAAGGAGGCATGACCACACAAAGCCATTCGAGAAGGAATCCTCATGTCAGACATGCTGCGAGAAGTCTGACGTCATGCGGAGGGAAGGAGCATGAACTTACACCGAAGCATCTTCTCCTCCGCTACCTTCAGCAGGGTGAGGGAGGTTGGGCACCATGATGGAAGCCAGCTGGTTATCCACCAGGACCTACAAAGATACATCAGGTCCCAGTCAAGAGATTCAAGACCACTGTTTATACCCTTAACCGGGATGCAACTAGAGCATATGACTGAGAATGATGTCATTAAAAGACAGTGGGCTGTTTTTATATACAGGTATGTCCACATCTTTGCACAATACTTCACATGACCACACACACGCATGTTTCTTAACTACATTCAATTCAATGCAGTTAAAGAATTCTAACAACATTCTGACAAAATCCAAACAAATGAAGATTTTGATAGCTTTAATAGAACCTTTTTACTGAGTATAATATTCCCGTGTGACTGTCATCATGAGGACCCTCCATGCATTTTCCATCTCCCGCATGGACACTCTCCCTCCTGTTGCTATTTGCTCTACTTTCTAACTCCTGCCAGCTGGGTGCACGGTCGCGGGATCTTAGCGGCCGCCTTCAGTGTTTGCTCAGTTGTGCCCGGAGCCAAAATATCCTTTTGAGTCAAACCGCATGTTTATGCACTTATGTACAAATGCCAAAAGCTATATGCAAGCAGTTTCTCCAGAACGATAAATGACTGACCTTGACTGGACTCAATAAGATTCATTAAGATGCATATTTTGATTAATGGGTACAAGAATTAAGACTTTTGCAGTTCTATATCTTGGCTCACTAGGCTTGATGGAAAGGACCTGTGCATTAAAAGAGGGAATTAAAAATAGACTGTATTTTTGGGAGACTTTATATCATACACACTCACAGCTGACGGCGGCTGTCTGAACTCCCGCTAAACACGCTGTTTTAATGGGCACATTTCAGGACTACTGGTGGCCATCAGGAGATATGAGGTGGCATAGTGTAACTGACTGGGAGTAAAAGCCGACCAGAGCAGCTCAGCTCAGGGTGTTTACTGCACCGGCGGCTCTGGAGGACGCAGGATACAGATCCAGCAGCAGACGTGATCTCATCACATTCTGCAGGGCTTGGTACCTAATTCTGTCCTGTAAGTGTTCATCTCAAAACCAGAAACGCCGCAGCCCAGTCTAAATAGAGGAGAAAATCAAATAACTGCTAAATAACTCAAGTGTTAGCCCGCATGAATCACGTGCTGATTTCAATGTGCCTTTTGAGGGTATGCTTGTGATAAAAAAGCAGTTGTGCAACAGTCTTTTGAAATGTGCTTCAGAAAACCACTCCTTTCAATCTTTAGTCAGAGTTTCTGTTCTCCTTGTGGGGAAAAGCACACTGATATGAAGGTCATATCAGCCATTCTCCTCAAACCACTCCAAAGCTCCGATATTTTTTTGCAGTGTATTTTCAGGGGTGATTTAAATTAGGCAAAGTGCTGTACACATCTGCGGGCTCCATCAGTCTGCATTTACGACCATGATTAGCCGGGACCAGAGACAGCATGCGATGTTCTAAAATCCAAGCTGATTGCGTTTATTCTTGCAGCCACTAGAAAGCGTCAATCCCTGCAAATACTGACACCGAGTGCTGATTCTGTTACCTGGCTGTCAGCTCCAGGAACCTCAAGAATTTGCAGAACAGATTGTGAGTAGGGAGGCGGATCAGTAACCGGTGAATGACTCTAAGGCAAAGAATAGACCGTTATAACATAAAAGGAATAATATATGCATGGGGCGCCAAGTGTCAAGCGCTCATTTCCATGCATTTTTAGCATTGACGACATTAAGGAATGCCTTGCTGCATTTGTCCACAGGAAGACAAACTGCAGTTGCATTTTGTCCACGAAAGCATAAAGACTTCATATTTCGCGCACAAAAATCAAAATGAATGTTTAATTTTGTCCACAGAATTGATATCAGCGCCTTGTATTTTATGGACAGAAGGTTGTATTTGCTTTCATAGATGAAAAGAAATTAATTTCGTTCACAAAATGCATTTTGTCGACTAAATTCATGTTGTGATAAAATGCATTTCCTGAATGAAAGAAAGATATATTGTTAACGAAGTGTATTTCCGGAGTGAAATAAAGTCGTTTTGTGAACAATTTTTGTTTTGTGAGTGATAGGAATTCATTTTGTGGAGGAAATGTATGTCCTGAATGATACACGGGAAATTCATTCTGTGGAATCACGCAGTACTTTTGTGGAACGGGGAAATGCATTCTGTCTTTTGCTGAGTCACGAAAGGAAAGTGGGGGGTGCGCCCGTGGGAGGGAGGGGGAGGAGTAGCACCATCCAATGACCAGAAGGAATTTCAGATACGTTCAGCCATCTGTCCACGAAATGCAAGGTGCTTATATCAATTGTGTGTCAGAATGAAACATTGTTTTTGATTTCTGTGTACGAAAGAATGTTAAGTCTTAATGCTTTCCGTGGGAAAAAAATGCATCAAAGCATTACTTGATTTCGCAAGTAATGCTTTTATGGCACAGAATGTATTTGAGCGAAAATGAGCGCTTGACACTTGGCGTCCCATAAATATGTTAAACTAATAGAAATCTGAGACATGCTTTATGGATGTTAAACATATATGACATGCATCATTATTACTGTTTATTCTGCAAGACAGCCACTAAAGCGAAAGCTGTTAATGGAATATTACCTAACAGGTGCTATCACTGTCAAAACCCTTTCACATATATCCATCCATCCATCATCCCTAACCAGTTATCAAATATTCACATATGATAACTCCAGTATAAATAAAAAACGAGAATTAAAAACACTTTACCATATTCTAACATTTCATACATCACATTTTTTTCTGACATGTAACGGAATGTAAATTTTAAGTGAGAACCCAAACTCATCCATATTGCTGATGGCCACAAATGAGCACTTTTTTTTTTGTCGTCAGAGGACCCTTATTCAAATACGGATAAATGTACAAACGTTGACATTATCCATCAATAAATTTTATTTTTAAAAAAACAACCAACTGTAATTTAAGCAAGTGTCATGTTAATGTTTTAATCTGTATACTAACCGATCAGCGCGCCCTACATTACACTGAGCTGTCATTGGTCACATTTAAGGTAGTTACTCTCAGTTTGGGACGGGACGCCCGTGACAGCTCTTCCAGAGTTTTAATTGCACATGACAAGAGGCAGTCAGACAAGTTAAGACGGCGGCCAGCCGGCGAGATAGCTGCCGCCGATAGGAAAGCACTCACCCTCTCTCCTGTAACTCTGTCTCCTCGGCCATCTTACCGCGACGCGGCGCCGGACCACGACGTCATCGCGGCCGAAGAAGCCCATTGGAAGGGGCGTAGCGCTTGGGCCCGGAGCTCTACAGCGATTGGCCGAATAGTAGCGTCGGCCGATGCCATTCGGAGGTGGCGAGGGGCGTCGGAAAGTGCCGAAACGTGAAAGATCCACCAAATGTGTACGGATGAAGTCTATATGGCGTCTATAAAGTCGCATAAAAATGGTTCGTTCAGCCCATACCCAATGGCGAGATTTTCACCTGTGAAAATCTGAGGATGTTGACTGTGTATGTGTGTGTGTGTGTGTGTGTGTGTGTATGTGGATTATGTTTATATTACATTGTGGGGACCAAATGTTATTTTGACGTTGCAGGGACCATTTTTTAGGTCCCCACCAAGATCCGTGAATACAATCAAAAAACTACAAATGCCAAAAGTGTCGTATTTTGTTTGGCTACTTATGGTTAAGGTTAGGGCTGGCTAGGGGTTAAGGTCGTCATATTAGGATTAGAGTTTTCCCCATAGAATTGAATGGAGAGTCCCCACAAAGATATAATTACAAACCTGTGTGTGTCTGTGTTGGTAATGCTGTATTTTAGTTATACCGAGGTTGTCTGCAATGGTGATCATGGCTGTATGTAGGTCAGCACGCCTGGTGGCTTTACTATTTCTCTGTGCGAATGGATTTAAAGAAGCTCAAATTTGAGATATTGCTACTGGATGCAATTTAATGTCAACCAGCAGATGGTGGTAGAGATCCTGTATTTTATGCAGCATTAATCCATGAAAACAAAATGCGCTGATGACTCATACTATGTGGTAGTAAGGTAACACTAATCCAAATTAGTCTATTTGTGAATTTTCAGGCTTTTGGGGGTATATTTGTTTTTCTTTTGCAAAATACATCTTCACAGCATGCAGCATTAAATTTTTTGCACGGTTCACAGAATTTCAGCCACGTAGTAAAGTCCATAATTCAGGATGCATCTGGCGTGCCAGTCACGCTTTTAGACTCTCACGCTCACGCAAGATATCTTAGGGAAAATCTATATTATTACATTATAACCCTAAAATGAATTAACCTACATCAAAAGCGTTGGGGTAGTTTGCAAACCCTACAGACTATATATTTGCAAGGTAGTAAAAGTGTTACATGCATGTAAATGCGCGTGCAGACTATTTCGAATTGAAAATCTCACGCCAGCCAGCTGATCTAAGTTGACAACTCTGCCATAATTTCTTCTTAGAGTTGACAGAAGAAATCGTTTACTGAAGCAAAATTGATCGGATGTATTTTCCGTTTCGCGATAATGTCTGGTACAAATGAACAAATTGCAAATGTTTTGCAATATCAACTTAATTTCCAGTTTTGAAAATGAGCAGTCTGACGATGCAGTTCTTTCAATGAAACTGTCAGCCTTGAGTAATTACAGCTCAGGGCCTGTTTCCAGGCAACAGCAAATTTATATGGTCTTGGGGGAAAAGGTTATGTTGCGTTGTCTGAGTGTTTATGTTATGTTTTTTTTTTTTTTTTTTAAATGAAAACATTTAATCTTACAATCCTTAATTCAAATTAATTTTCAGGCAGTAAAATTAACTATTGACTTTTATGACAAAATGTGTACACTGACAATAAATATCTGAATATGTAACATATGATTGAATTGATTTCTATTTTCAAGATCAGTTAAACATAGTATAGTTGTAGTTTTTAATGTGTATTTACAACCTGCAAGCAGACCCACGATCAAACCAGGATTTAAAAATGCAGTTTAAAAAATATATATATATATATATATATATATGTATATATATTTATATATATATATACATATATATATATATATATATGTATATATAATATTTATATTTTCCACTTTGTGGATTCATAGGGGTTTTAAAACTTAAAAGTTACTTAACAGCAAAGTAATTGATAATGTGATTACTTTTTGCAGAAATTACAGTTTGAGACAAGTAATTAGTAATCTTTAATGGATTTCTCTTCTTGAGTGTCTTCCCCACCACTGATTAGAACACGTAACACAACAATGACACAAACTGAATGATATTCCTCCTTGCACTACAAGGCATGCTGGGTGCAGAAGCAATCCTCAACATCCAACCGGTCTGAACTACTGGGGAGGAGATGCGGTGGTCTGCAGTAAACGCACTGGGCCTCCACCAGCTTGCCCCTCACCTTTTCCGACGGTGAGAGATTGAGCCTCTACTCCAGTATGGTGACCAGGGCAGCGCAGTCCCACAGTTCCTCTGGAGTCAGACATGGGCCCAAACTGCATCCACTTCCAGTGCCATTGTCTGGTGGATCTCTGTCTGCATGGGACCATTATGCTATGTTGTGTGGTGTCCCTGGGCCAGGTAAGACTCCAGGTGCTCCATGTCGCTTTATTGGGGAACCTTGAGGGAGGTCCTCATTCCACCGGCACTGCCCGCCAGTCCAGGCACTGCATCTTGCTGCAGTACGGAGGCTTCCTCCTCTGCCCCAGGAATCTCCACCTGTTAAAGTGAATGATTCACTTTTCAGTGATTCAGCATTACTCATATGACACGGCAGTCCTGCCCCGGCTCTATGTGTGTGGCTGAAAGTAGCATGTTCTTCCCATGTCGTTGTGCAGTTTACTCCAGGCACTCCGGTTTCCACCCACAGTCCAAAAAACATGCTGAGGTGAATCGTAGTTACCCATGGTATTGGTGCGTGTATATGACTGGTGTGTGACTGTGCCCTGCGATGGGTTGGTGCCCCACCCTGGGTTCCCCGCCTTGTGCCCGTGGCTTTCAAGATGGACTCCAGACCCTTGCATAGGACAAGCGAGTGTAGAAAATGGATGGGTGTGACCTCAGTGATAGTAGTCAGGAAGTAATAATTTGTATCCTGAATAATGAAATAAAACTAAATATTTGTGAAGAATTTCAAATGCATACATTTTCTTGACTTTATTTTCCTCTTTTCCTCCTCCAAGCGAATTTGCCCTTTTATTCCCAGACAGCTGTCACACGCTGTGCTGACTGTCATCCTCCTTGACCTCGCCTGTCTTTTCTCCCATTCAAAGTGGCAGATGTTTCACAACCACACGTCACTGTAAAGTTCGCAGTTCAGTTCACACTGGAATGGATGCCATTCATTAGCCTGTTTTTCGTCGAGGAAAAATTACCATTAATAACTTCACAGGGGAAATATATTTCATTTTTCCGAATATATACATGATTAAATTGTGAATCAGTATGAGATTGGAAAAATTACTTTGCTTATTTGTTCAAAATATTTTGTTGCTGTGTGTGCATAAATTGTTTGTACCAGGTTTAATGCATGAGAGTACTGTGAATGTACTGCAATGTCAATCAGTCTGTTATCTGTACAGTCAGCTAGCACTACAGTCTGTTAACCCTACAGTCTATTAGCACTATGGCACTATGTGTTTGAAATGCGAGCTGGAGAGTTGTGTGAGAGATTCTTGAACAGCTGTAGATGTGTTATACACCCCAATGCGAACAAACTGTTTAAGGTAAGAAGGAGAATCACATGTTTATCCACATTTGCTGTATATTTACTGTCATGCCTGTGTTGGTTACTTTATGTGAGGAAGACTAAACGTCATTTAAAAACCAGAATATGTGAGCACAAATGTGCCATTCACAATAGGAATGAATCGTCTCCAGTGGCCTGAGGATGTGGCTTGGTGATACCCTGGTGATGTCCAATACACCTGTTGTGTCATCATTTGTGGTCTCGCAGGGATGAGTATATGTAAATGGGAACTGCACATGGTCTGTAGCACACAGTGGAAGGCGACACGCTGAAACACCCCTGTGTTGCAATCAAACTTCCAGAAAAGCCATGTTGAAGCAAAGTGCGACGTCTTTTTGTTTGCTTGATCAATTCCTCTATTGTGGTCCAGCACTGACAATTATAGAATTAAGAGTGAAGCCCATTCTTCTGTGCCATGAAGAATGGTCTGTGTATCAGCTTTGAAATGTTTAGCAGAAGTGGGCAGTGAGTGGAACACCCGTAACCACCAGCTGGCTGCTTTTAGTAACAAAGAAACTGTGTCCTGATCATGCAAGGTGGATTAAAGGTGTTTACACAGCACATCTATCTGGTGTGCGATCGCTCGACATGTACGTGCAAAACTCGCTGTCTCACCCGATCTTTCAGTGGGTCTTTTGTTGAGTTTCTGTGTCTCTCATTGTGTTGTGGAAGTTGTGTTTTATGTATTACTGTTCAGAGCTATAAATAAACTTCACATGATTCCCTTGTGGCTACAACCTGGAGGATTATTGGAAAAAAACAAGTGGCGCCGCACCTCCGTGGTCTTGCCACAAAGCGAGGCCTGCAGGGCCTTGTTAATCTTAACAGATCTGACATTAGCTGGGCTCTCTTCCTGGATTTATCTATCCCGTCGGCTGCTTGCTGTCTGCATTCCTAATATCTTGTGCCTCTTATCAGGTTTCTAAGTTTATTCACTTGGTTTTGTGAATTATGCAAATCATATCATATCCAAATCACAATGCAAATTAAACCGCAGGCTGGGATTTGGAGTGTTCAAAACCTGTAACCACAAATGGACTGTAAAATGAAAATGAAATGATTTCACGCTGCTTCGCTGCAGTTCTCTGTGAATCCCTACATAACTCGATACTCTGGGTCATGCTGTTATGCAAAAAATGAATTACTGATATCTCAAACAATGGCACCAACTTTTCATTATGTACAAGTAAGTGGTCAAAATCATACCGGATGTTATGCAATATTTGGAGAAATATTCATGATTTACAAAATATGTACTTCTTCCACTGTGCCGTGCTATTATGCAATCCTTGTCACAGAAACACAGGAGTTTCACATGTCAGGAGGGAGGTAACATTTATGTACAATGGACAAGTAAGGTGTGTCCTGCAATGGGTTGGTGCCCCATCCTGGGTTGTTCCCTGCCTTGCACCCGTAGCCTCTGGGATAGACTCTGGACCCCCCACAACCCTGAATAGGATACGTGGTTACATAAAA